CCATCTCGACCGCGTCGTCCTCCGGCGGAAGCTCCGCGTCGCCCGCGGCCGCTCCCCGAGCGCGCTCGTCGCGCATCCGCTCGTGGTGGGCCTGCCGACGCGCCACGTCGTCGCCCGTGTGCCTCGCCGCCGCGTCCGGCGACGGCATCAGTGCTGTCCGCCCGAGCGTGACTCGCCACTCCACGACCTCCACGACCTCCACGACCGCCGAAAAGCACGACCGCCCCAATCTCGAACAAATCTCGAGTCCTCTCACTAGTTACATACATACCTCGTCGCACACACCGCCATAGCCGCAAACAGTGTACCACACCGTGTGGCGCGTGCTTCTTGGTTCTTGCAAGACGCCCTGCCTAGCGGCCAGAGGCCGAGACATGCTGTGCATGGCCTACCCCCGTCGCTCCGCATCTCGCACCGCCTGAGCCGCCGCGGCGGCTCGTTCAATGGCGATGCACTTCGCGCTCCGGGTCCGATCTGCGTCCTTGCCCTGGTGCCGGGCCAGGGCCTGCTCAGCTTTCCTCCTGGCAGTGTGGTGAAACTCCTGCCCGCACCACGGGCAAACCGCGTCCGCCGGCGCGCTTCGGATCCCCCGGCGGTGCTGCGAGGGGCGGCTGCACTGCGCGTCGGGGGTGCAAAGCCGGATCCGTTTTTCGACGGTGTTCGCCCTGTGCTCCCGGCCAAGCACCTGCACGGCCACCGCCGGCGTCCACCGGAACCCGCACGCGGTGCACGTCATGTCGCGCGCGAGCGGCGCCCGTCGCGCGATGGTGCTTGCGGAGACAAAACTCGCTGCCTGGAGGCGAGGGGGGGGGGAATCTCAGGCAGATCTCAGCCCCTATTTTGGGGCCCAAACGCTCGTACACCTGCCCCGACATCTCAAACTCCTTAAAGTAAGAGATCGCATGCTCCCGCCCAGTCTCGTGAAAATCCTTGAATGCGCGGGAGAGGCCGTCCGGGCCCACGCCGTCCAGCAGAACCTAACGGGCATAGCCGGCAGTCAAGCGCCTCTGCCGCGCCGCGGCTCCCCCTCCGCTCCTGCGTGCCTTCAGCTGGATGAGGTCTGGCGGGACCTCGCCCTGGAACAGCGCCCTACTCCGGAGAGGCGGGTGAGGGAGGAGTGGAGGGAGAGGTGTGCGGCGGGATAGGGGTGGGGGAGCGGACAAGTCACGGGCAGCAGCGAAGAGCGCGCAACCCTCAGCCTCGAAGGCGCCGGCGGATGAGGCATGCGTCGAGCACGAGCAGATGACCGAGGCGACCGGGCCATGCTCCGGGATGAGGTAGGTGAGCTCGAACGCGACGCGGCCGGTCTCGCGCAGCTGCTGGCTGACGCGGGGGTTGCGGAGCGCAATCGCCTGTGCCGCGTCGATGCCGATGGCGGAAGGGATTTTCGACGGGTGGACGATGCCGTCATTGGCTAGGCCGATGTTGAGCAGCGTGAATCCAAAGCGCCCGTCGATCGCGGCGGCGACGCCCGTCGCCGCCGCCACCCCGTCTTCGCCGCCCTCGCCGCCGCCCTCGCTGCCGCCGCCGTCTCCGCCCCCGCCCCCGCCGCCACCGCCCTCGCCGCCGCCGTCGGCCCCACCGCCCTCGCCGCCGCCGCCGCTGTCACCACCGTCGCCGCCCCCACCCTCGCCGCCCCCGCCCGTCTCGGCGTGGCAGTGGGCGCACGACGCGAGCAGCGAGAGGGTGCACGCCATGTCTCGTGCGTTGGCCGCGCGGCCCTCATCGCCGAGCCGCAGCCCAGGCTTGTCGCTCCAGCCGTTTGCGAAGAGCACCTTTTTGTTGAGGTAGAGGTCGCCGGCAAAGTACTCAGTGGTGTCGGGGTCGTGCACGTTCGTGAGCCACGAGGCTGCGGCGACCGTGTTGAGCCATGTCTTCGCGGTGCCGCGCGCGCCCAAGTTGTGCTTGTCTCGCGAGGTGACGTTGTCCGCGCCGACGACAATCACCGTGCACCGCAGCAGCTCGGAGGCGGGGACCGGCTCTTTGCGCCTCGCAATGTCGAGCACGGCGTCCAACCCGTCGAAAGTTGCGATCGCCTCCGCGCTCACGTCCGTCTCGCCTCGGGCGCCCCACTCGACTGTCAGCCGCTGCCGCCGGCGGCCGGTGCCGAGGTCGCGCGGGTCGAGGTCGAAGCGGCCAACTGGGCGGCTGCTGGGCGGGGCGGCTGCTCCCTCCCTCCCC